GAGGGGTGGTGAGGGGCTGGGCGATTGTAGTTTTGTAGAAGAAGACTGAGAAAGGCTTAAGGAATCTTGGCCATAGATTTGTGCTATAGTAGGACTTAGAGGAACTTCTGCTGGGAGAGGACTCTAGGACCCTATTCCTTGGTCCCCTCTCTGTGTCAGAGAGGGTTGGCATGGAGTTGGGAAGGCCCCCTCGCCCACCACCCTATCCCTCCTTACGCCTTATGTCTAAAGTGTAGCCACACCTGGTACATCTTTGATGATCCTTGGGTGATAGCTGGAAGCGAGTCTCTCTGGGTAGCTGGGGGACCCCTTGGCCAGGCAGGACTCTGTCCTGGCCTGTGCTGGTCCTCAGGAGTTTCCCTGCTTCCCCTGCCCCCTTCTCTCCCAGGCTGACCTCAGTTCTTACAAATTTGCCCTTTCCTTCCCGCCTTGAAATCTGATAATGAAACTAATACCCAATATTTTTTGCCTCTGAGAGAAGCAGAAGATAAACAGGAAGGCACGAAGGATTAAGGTATCTCTCCAAGGCAGGAGCTGGGACAGGCTGGGGGGGTGGATTGGGTGACACCTCTGGGTAGAGCAGAGGGATCCAGATGTGAGCCGCTTCGCCTGATGCATTTTTCCATTTGTGTAGAGAAAATAAAACAAAGAGAAAAGAAAACAAGCTGTAAAATACTTTGCAGAAGTCTGAGCGTGGGCAATTGTCACTTGAAGTCCCTGACAGCTCCGAGAAGCAGGAGGGAGGAGGGGGATGCCCTGCTTTTTGAAGTTGGGCCTCAGAGCTCTCTTTTGTGTGACCAGTTGTTTGGGATGAACCTTTTGTTGGTGTGAGGTGTATATAGAAGAGAGATTCCAGCTCTGGCTTCCCCTTAGAAGCTCAGGAAGGACTCAGGGTCCCCAGGAGGGGCTCAGAAGTCCATTGATTCCCCTCAGTGGACAGCTGGAGCCTCCTTTATAGGGGAGGACACAGGATGAAACCAGTCTCCAAAAAGAACCAAAAGATGCCACTCCAAGGCATATAAAAGGCAAAGGAAGTGAGACCTGGTGCTTCTTCCAGATCCCTGGCCCTGGACAGGTGTATCAGGCCCTGGGATTTCTGTGCTTTGTAGGATAGATCTAGATTCTGGGCTGTGGTCCAGGCCTGCTTGTGACCTCCAGGGATCTGACACTTTGCTCTGGGGGCTGTGGGTCAGCAGCTAGAAAACTGGGTCCCTCCATTCACTGGCTCCATAGTTGGTCACTTCATGTCCTTGAACAGCACCCTGCCCCCCTGATCTAGCTGAGTTAGACCAAAGAAATGATGAATGTACTTTAAGTGTGACCATCCCCCATGGGGAGGGCAGGGTACCAGCGTTCTTTCATTGCACCTGGGTGAACTAAGTTCTTGGGGACCCCAGCTGAGGGACACTTGGGAAAGCTCTTCGGGGTCGGGGGTGTCCTCTGATCTAATCTGACCTCCAGCAGCTTCCACACTTCAGGGTGTAAACTGTCTTAGCACTTCCTCCAAAAGCCATCCTCCGTCTCCTCTTGATAATTGAGTGACCAGTGAGGGAGGGAATGGCGGGGGCGGGGGGGGGGCTGACTCTAGGAAGAGCATTTAAAGGAATGCATTATAACATCAGAGAAAAATTAAAGTGGCAATTTAAAAGCAAATCAGGAATAGAAATAACATATGAATAAGAAATGGGCCAAAATATTTGTATCATAGAAATGTTTTTAAATACAATAGTGAAAGAGCTCTAGACAGTGCGAAGAAAACCCCACCTTATTTGAAAACTGGGCAAATGGCATGAACAGGCAATGTGGGCGCACGCTCAGGAAATATAAATAGACACTCAGAGAAATGCCCAGCCTCCCTCGTAATCAAAGACATGCAGATGAAAATCATGTGTGAGTTTTTTTTTTTCCCCCCAGACAGATTGGCAAAGATTAAAGAAAAGAAGCATACTTATAACAAATGTGCATTGTCATTTTTCTCAAGGGTGTGGCGACACAAGAGCTGTCACATCCTGCTGTTGGGAGAGTGAGCCAGCACAGTCTTTCTTGACAGCAATTGGGCCATTTGGATCCAAAGTTAAAAACATGTAGAACCAAAATTTTGACTCACAGTTCTGCCTTGAGAAATGTGTTTCAAGGTGGTTCAAGGTGATTACCATTGTGTTCGAAGGTTGTTACCATGGTGCTATTTTTTTCTTCTTTTTAAATTTTTTTGCAGTTCTAGGGATTAAACCCAGAGCCTTCCACATGCTAAGCAAGTGCTCTACTGCTGAACTGCAACCCAGGCCCTTTTTATTATATTTTTAGACAGGGCTTGCTAAGTGACTGAGGGTGGACCTTGAACTTGCAATCCTCCTGCCTCAGCCTCCAAAGTCCCTAGGATTATAGACATGAGCCACCATGCCTGGCTCCCTGTGTTATTTATAATAGTGACAAACTGGAAACAGCCTAGCTGTCCAACCCTAGGAAACTCTGCTGTTAAATGCATCTATTTTAGATTGCAAGAAATTCCCAACACAGTACCAGGTAACATTTAAAAGTTGTGAAGAATGGCTAGGCATAGTGGTACACTCCTGTAATCCAAGTGGCTCGGTAGGCTGAGGCAGGAGGATCGTGAGTTCAAAGCCAGCCTCAGCAACAGTGAGGCATTGAGCCAACTCAGTGAGACCCTGTCTCTAAATAAAATACAAAACAGGGCTGGGGATGCAGTCAGTGGTTAAGTGCCCCTGGGTTCAATCCCTGGGAACCACCCCCTGCAAAATCTAGAGGTATACAGATATGATCCATCTGTGTTTATAGGGGAAAAAAAAAAGTAGCTCCACACTTGAGCCAAAGCTAGTGAAAGTCTGGAAGCAAAAATCCCTAGGTTAACACTGGTTGGTGGAAATAGTAGTATATTTTTCCCTGATTTTGTTTTCCAAGAGTGTGGCATTATACATATATTTCTTTAGGAATTCCATAAAGGTGTGGTTTAGAATGTACTTAACATAAGTCCAGATCTAAGACAGATCAAGTCAAAGAAGGAGCCAGAGTAGTCAGATTCAAGCTGGAGTTATCCCAGAATTTGAAGCCCAAGGAGAGCAGGTATTGGGGGGGGGGGTGAGGAGGGCTCTATGGGAGCCATGCTGGTGCCTGGGCCAGGCTGAGGGGGGGCAGTGGAGATGGGCCTGGAAATGACCTTGAAGTCACGAGACACCTGGAACATGAGAAGGACGCAGTCAGACAAAGAGGGGGTGTCCAAGGAGGAAAGGAGCAGCACCTGCAGGCCAGGAGGGGGCAGGTGGGGAGTCCTTGCACATGGCTCACTCTGGAAACTGAACAAGTTGAGCCCAACTGAAGCAGGAAGAGGGAGGGGCGGGTGAGCAGAGCTGCAGCTGGACGGTAGGCAGGACTGGCTGATTCAGAGCCCTTGAAGGCCATGATAAGTGATTTCAACTTGATCCTGATGGGCATCCTCAGATTGGTGCTTAGGAATTCCTGCTCTGGTGACAGTCGTCCCTGGGTAGCCATAGAGAATCCCTGATGTGGAAACCAACATCCACAGATGCTCAAGTGCCTAAAATGAAGTATCTACCCAGAACCTATACATATCTTCCTATATACTTTAAATCATCCCTAGATGACTTATCATACCAAACACAATGTGAACGGTTTGTAAATAGTTGTTATATTATTTGGGGAATAATAATAAAAATAATGAAATAATAATTTCATTATAAAAATAAACATATAAAGTCAGTACATGTTCAGTACAGATGCTGTTTCCCCCCTTAATATTTTGGATCTATAACTTGTTGAATCCGGGGTTATAGGTCCTGCAGATCTGGAGGGTGATTGACTGACTGTACCGTGGTAAAGGTCACCCAGAACCCTCAGCTCAGAACACAGGGCGGTGGGAGGACAGTGTAGAGAGGAGTGAACGAGGGAGGCACTATTACATCCAGTGGAGACCCCAGGCTTCAAGCTGGGAATATCCGTTTTTAAGTCAGGAGCACAGACGTGGTTAGGGGGGCAGAAGATGGTCTCAGAGGGCATCAGGGCTGGCGGGGGAAGGGTGCCAAGTCCTGAGTCGTGTATAAGGAGTAGGTGGAAGGAAGCAAGCCTGGCTGGGAGGAAGCCAGAGAGAACCAAGCCAAGGGTCCTCTGCAGGGGATCCCAAGCCCAGGGATGGTCAGGCCTCTACAAGATGGGAAGCCCACAGGGTTGATGTTGGGAGGGAAGACAGGGCACTGGGCCCTGGGGTCCTCTAGGGAGTGGGAGCCTGCCAGCGTAGAAGCAGTGTATGAGTATGCTCAGGCTGTGGGGCTTAAACACATTTTTTTCCTCCCAGTTCTGGAGGCCGGAAGTCCAAGGTCAAGGTTGGTTTCACCTAAGGCCTCTCCCCTTGGCTTGCAGGTGGCTGGCTGCTCACATGTCCTTGCCTTCCTGGTACTGGGGATTAAACCCAGGGATACTCTCCTACTGAATTACATCCTTAGCCTTTTTATTTTGAGACAGGGTCTTGCTAATTTGCCCAGGCCGGCCTCGAACTCGTGATCCTCTGAGTTGCTGGGATTACAGTTTGTGCACCACCGTGCATCTCAGCTGGTCCTTCCTTTATGCACATACACCTCTTGAGTCTCTCAAGAGAGAAATTCCCTCTTCTTATAGGAATACCTTGGAGTAGGGCCCCCACCTAAGGGCCTCATTTTAATTCATTCACCTCTTTAAAGTCCCTGTCTTCAAACATAGTCAAATTCTGAGGTACTTGGGGTTAGGACTTGTACACAAGAATTTGGTGGGAGCCTCAGCCCTGGTACCCTGAGGTGTTCAATCATATTGACGGGTGCAAACAAAGGAAGCCCGGGAAGAGCTCCCGGGGCGAGACACTGCCTCCCGAGATCAGGAGTGGAGATGAAGGGGGCAGTTGGGGGCAATTGGAAACAGAGTCTCTCTGGGTCCCCATGATGTCTGTCTCCGCAGCACCCTTGTTGGCTCACAGTCTCTGCCTGTCTTTCCTGCAGCCTGTAACTGCAACCTGCATGCCCGGCGCTGCCGCTTCAACATGGAGCTCTACAAGCTGTCTGGACGCAAGAGTGGAGGCGTCTGCCTGAACTGCCGCCACAACACTGCTGGCCGCCATTGTCACTACTGCAAGGAGGGCTACTACCGTGACATGGGCAAGCCCATCACCCACCGGAAGGCCTGCAAAGGTAGGCTGCGCTTGGAGGGGGGTGGGTGGGACAGAACTTGACCTCTTTCCTTTCTTTCTCCTTTGTGATTTCTTTTTTTTTTTTTCTAGTTTCCATACAGAGGAGTGTAGACTGAGGTCATCACACACACACACACACACACACACACACACACACAGCCTCCCTGGTATTTGAAGGTGTAAGCCAAAACAAAGGGGCGATGGAAACATGGCTCAAAGGAGAAGAAAGGAGAAGGTGTGATCCCCTAAGAGGGTGCAGGGCTGGCCCGCTGACGCCTCCCCCTCCTGAGCTTCTCCTCTGCACAGGTGTGCTGCATACCACAGGGACGCGAGTCATGTTCGCCAGGCTTACCTTCGGGACAAAGGACCCTCTTTTCCCAAACCCACGCAGACGCAGACGCAGTTCTTTGGATGTGTGTGCATGGGCCCCCACCCCCTGTCACACACACATAGACACGCACAGTTGCAGAGAGGTTGCAGTTTCAGGATCAGGGTCTCAGAAGGAACATTTAATCCATTTGCAAATAGCTTTACTTCTCAGGACAAAAAAAAAAAAACAAGAGAGAGAGAGAGAGAGAGAGACCGGAGACTCTATTTTCGCTCACTGAAGCAAGCACTAACGTTTTAACTTTCTGCTGTTTGTTTTTCTCCCACCAACAAAAATGAGGCAATGGTCAGATGACTCAGAGAAGCTGATGAAATGCCAGAGAACTGAGTGATGTTGGAGGGTGAGAAGTACCCTCCCCCCATGCTAGCTTTTGGGAATTCCAGGAACCAGGGTTCTTTTGCTCCCAAAGATGGGGCCCAGGGCTAGGCGCGAGCATGGCTTCTCAGGAAGACGTTTATCTCCAAGAGCTCCAGCCGACAGCTCAGCATACACGGGGTCCTGACATAGGCTTGTGTAGACCCTGACAGAAGGTCCCCAAGCCATGGCAGACGTGAGTCCAGTACAGAAACCCTTCTGGGTTTCAGCCTTTGATTGAAGTATCATCTTCGTCACAGGAAATCCACCAGATGTTGGGCACTTGTGTGCAGAACTGACTGCATAATTTGCAGGGCCCAGAGCAAAGTGAAAATATGAGGCCCCTTACTCAAAAATAATTAAGGCTTTCGCAACAGCGGCAGAGAGCTTGACAAAGCATGCATCTTTCTGAGCATGATGCCAGCGCTGCTTGTGCAGAACCCTCTTCTCAAAAACAGAAACCCTACCAGGTTCCCAGTTTGTCTCCTCCAGGAGAGAGCCCTTTGATTCCAAATGCACATAGATGAGTAAGGGTGGCTTCCAAGATGAAGCAAGCTGTCTCCAGATCTGTGGACTTAACGGCCTCTGGTGATTGCCAGAAGAAAATTGAGCAGAAAGATAGCTGGGCTGTTTCCATATCAAAAAAGACAACGATTTCAGGTAAGCATCCTCCTGGAGACTTGGAAAAGGGAAGTGGCCCAGGCGAAGGGACCCTAGAAAGGTCTGCAGTGTCAGGAAGGTATGATCAGGGCAAGACCAGGGAGAGATGGCTGTGGGTTTTCTGAGTGCAGAGTTGGAAGGCATCCAGCTCCTTTGCCTGTGCCCAGTGTTTGTTGTCTCATTTTTACAGAAGAAATTGAGGCCAGGGGTCTTGTAAACAGCTGGCTGACACATAGATTTCTTGGAGATTCAGCCAAGAAGTTTTAACCCATAGAAGCCACTTAGGTGGGCAGCCCTGTGCCCAGGGAAAGGGGGCGCTGCTCATATCCTGGCCTGCTGTTTTCTGCTGTTAGGACAAAAATGCCTGTTCCCTGGAGATGCAGGAAGAAACGAGGCTTGGTCATCTCCACCTTTCCGTCGGTTGCCAAGGGTAGGGAAAACGGCCATGACATTTCTTATCCTCTTACTGCTCAGAGTGAGAGATGCCAGGAAGCCACAAGGTTCAGGTTCATTCTCCAGGGTCTGCCTCTCTGGTGGAAGGGCTACCAACGCTCAGCTTCCTTTGCTGGTTTCTAGGGGGGAACAGAGGCAGGCAGATGAGGGGCTGTCCCTGTTCCTGATTTAAAAAGCTAGGGCTAGCCTAGGTGGCTGTCTGCATTTTCAGTCCTGGACAGCAGCTGCCCCGGTCTCGATGGGAACTCTGGGAGAAGAATTCCTGGGAGAAGACAATTACATCCTGCTGAGAAAATGAGGCAGGGTGTCAGGACTCTCAGTGTCTTGATTGGAGAAGAAAGACAATGCTTCAAGGAACCTGCCACCTGATTGGAGAAGAAAGACAATGCTTCAAGGAACCTGCCGCCTGATTGGTGAGGAAAGACAATGCTTCAAGGTTTCTGTCTCTGGATTGGTGAGGAAAAGGATAGCCCAAAGGATCCTCCTTCTTGATTGGTGAAGAAAAAAAATCTGCTGTCTGATTAAGGAGCAAAAATGTGACCAGAAATTTCCAACAACCTAATGAAGACAGCTCTTGAAAGTTCCACATCTGTCCCCTATTCTCTTCCTAACTCATCCTTTTAGGGTATGTGGGAACTTTAAATCTTCAGTTCCTCCAAGGGACATCTCCCACCACAAAGAGACTCAGAGATCTTGGCAGGAACCAATTTTAGGAGAAGTTAAGATGCTTGGGGGGCTGTGTGTACCCCCAAGATTTTCACACAGGGTTTCTTTGTCAATACCTTCCCTTCTTCCATCACCACCACCACCACCGCCTCCACGGGGGTCTTTCTGCCTTGCTTTCTGAGGGCCACATGATTGAAGAAATGCTTCCTTCCCTGGGAGGAAGCCTACTGGCCTCCAGCATTTTGACAGTTTGCTGTCACAGGCATCCAAACCTTGTAGGTGTGTGTGACACTGGCCTCGGCCCCCTTCTCCTGAGATTGACCTCAGGGAACCCTCAAGTGAAGGCCACACTTCTTCACTTTGGTTCAAATGAATTTCACAGGGGAATTGGGACAACTGGCTCTGGACTCCCAAGTTGGCTTGGGAATGGCGTTGGGGGCCCTCTTTATCCCTGACTTCTCTGGGCCCAAGAGGGGCCCAGGCAGGGGGCCGAGGCCACCCATCTACAGGGCTGGTGATTGGCTGACGCAGGACCTTGTTCACTGTAGAGCAGGGGTGGACCCCGACAAGAACAGCTTGGAGCAAGGGCATTTGATTCCACACGTTATTATGCAGTTCCCCCATTTGGGAAGTTTCATAGCAACAAATTTGTTGGGTTCTTTTCTCCCCTCCCCTCGTTGAGAAGCAGAGTGGGGCTGGCAGGGTTGGTGCGTACAAAGGGCCGTAATAAACATGCCCAGGGGACAGGCCTGTGCACTCTCCGGCTATTCAGTGCAATTTCACAGCACGGGCACGGCCTCATTATGGTGCGGGCCGTTGTCCTATACAAAGTCAGATGAGATAAATTTCTCCCCTTTTCTCCACGGAACGGTTTGTGAATGATACTCGTCCTGGAATCTTTCAAAAGATAGGAGGTTTTGTTTACCATTTGTCTCTCTTTATGGACTTGGGAGCGCTTTCTTTTTTTTTTTAAAGTCCGCAAAGAAGACGTTTGCTCTTGGACCATTTCAGCAGCGCCTCCATTGATAACGATATTAATTTATCATCTTCCCAAACCCTGTGTGATGGATAAAGACATTCCGAGAGTCTCCCGTGAACGGAATCGCGATGAGCATTAAGAAATTAACCACCGCAGCCAGCGTCTCCTTACAAAAGGCTCTCGTTCCATCTCACTGAGCAGCCTGTTGGGTCGCCCCTTGCCCTGCCCACCCCCCCTCCAGTCTGCAGCCAATGGGGCTGAATTGCAGGCTGCTGAGAAGGTGCCCGAGCCCAAAGAAGATGCATGCAGTCATTAGGGCAAAAGCATGGGACAGTCCCCGCTGTCTTTGCCAGGCATGCTTGGGGTGGAGACGTGAGCCCCTCAGTCAGGCTCCCTCGGGCTCCCTGGGCCACCTCCTGTGTCTCCCTCATTCTGGATTCTTGACCTTCACTTCATGTGTGCCTCAGTTCTTACCCTTGGTTGTACAGGGGAATCAGCCGGGAGAGACATAAAAATACCGCAGCCTGGGTTCCGCCCCAGAGATTCTGCTTTAATTACTGGATCCAGATGAGGCTTGGGCATTGGGAATTGCCTCCTCGGGTGATTCTTATGTGTAGCCAAGGCTGAGACCCACAGAGGTGGAGAAATGGAGGAGAATAAGAAATGAGGATGGTGGTTTGCTTTTGGCAGTGTGGATTCAAGGAAGGCTCACAGGTGGCTTAGACTCCCGAATTTTTTTCTTTGAGAGAATGTCAATATTTTTATGAGTCCCTTGATGAAAACTGGGTGGGGGGGCATTTAAATTTAAAATTAAACTTTTTTTTTTTTTTTTTTTTTAAAGACAGGGTCTTAGTCTTATTATGTTGCCCAGACTGACCTTAAATTCTTGGGCCTAAGCAAAGCTCCTGCCTCAGCTTCCTGTAGCTGGGATTGCAGGTATGCCTCACCATACCCAGCTTCCTGCCTTTAAGTTTTTTAAATCTTGCTTGACAAGACTGGTGAAGCCTAGCTGGGAATGGTGGCACACAGCTATAATCCCAGTGACTCTGGAGATCGAAGCAGGAGGATCACAAGTTCAAGGCCAGCATCTGCAGCTTAGGGTCTCACTAAGTTGCTTAGGACCTCACTATCTCAAAATAAAAATTTAGAAAGGGCTGGGAATGTCGCTCAGTGGTTCAGCACCCCTAATATCACAATATCTAGATCAAGACATGGGATCACAGGCCAAGAGCGTATACATGTGTGATCATGTGTGTGCACATGTGTACACCAGCTTGTATATTTAGATCTGATCATTGGAAGTTTTAGTCTCAGCATAGCTAAGTACCTGGGAACCCCACCCCTCTGGACCTTCCTAAAGCATTGTCCCCCTTTACAAAACCCTCAGGAGCCAGCTTTCATTTTGTGGGTCCCTTATCACAGTTCTGTTTCCTGTTGTGTTTTTGTGGGGTGCAGAGAAAAGGGTTGGTCATCTGAGGCAGGAAGGTCGTCGGTAGCTAGA